ATATACATTGAAGATTTGCATTGCATAAATTGTTGACTCAACTAATAAGACACAGTGTTTAATAACCTGTCTAATTGAACTAATATTTTGTCTTGTTCTCCTCCATGTCCCAGCCCTATACACATAAATTTTATAAGAAGAATATCTCACCCTCCCCATCCATCTCCCTTTCCCTCCTCCAATTTTGGCATAATTGTCAGACTCTTCACATTTGAGATGGAAGGAAGTCTGCTCTGGTCCCCAGGAGTGTGTTCTAGATTGTGATTGAGATGGACTGACGTGTGGGCAGCTTGCATGGTGGTGCCTGTTTATTGGACCTGGATCCAACACCTCATTTTTATGGGCCATTTTGATGATTTTTTTAAAAACCAAATATGAAGTGTCCCTTTTTTCTAACAAGGCAAATGCATGTTCTGTTATTATGGTGTGTGTGATTCCCTTCCTTTATATTTACTAACATTTTTAAAATTAATAATACTTAACCTAATTTAAAGAATGCTAACTTATTTTAAAAGAAATGATCATGATTTGTACTTTAAAGGAAATTATTTGCTCTGTCTGTTGTTTTGAGCACATTTCTATTTCTTATGTTCAGAGAAATCACATGTATAGTTCCAGTGAAGAAATTGTGTAAGCCAGAAATAAACCCTTTTAAATTGAGCAATTTTTGAATTTTTTTCATAACACAGCCTTTCGTGGTTCTTCCCAAATAAAACTTGAAAATGCCAATACCCTTAGTATTTAATCTGAATATTGTGGGCATAAAAATCCATGGCAAAACTGGTAAACTTTTAAAACTAGTTGAAAACTCACAAAAGGACCTATACAGTTCATGAAATGAGAAGTTTTATGTGGAATATGGTCCTTTTGATACCTTTAATTTTGTGATGCACTTGGGTTTTGGTAGACTAAAGGGTGTTGGACACTACACTCCTACAGCAAATCGTTTTTATGAATCACAGAGTATTCCAAGGTCCTCCATTCTTCTATAGCTGTTCCCAAATTTGGAAAGACTATTAAAGGCGTATTTCCACTCCCACTTATTTTATATCAGTGATCAATGGCCTAGGTGCTTTATTATCTGCCCTGCCCCTTTGGTCCAGCTTGCCTCTCTTTCTCCCCCTCTTCAGGGCCTGCCCTCACTGTCTGGGCGTCACTTCACTCCCAGACTCCTAGGGGTGAAGGACAAAGGAAAGGAGGGGAACCTAGGGACCTGAATTCCAGGCACAGGAGCCAGCCCTGCAAGAATAGTATTCCCTGCCAGTAAATCAGTACACATCCATCAGCATTTAACTTTCTAACATGCATTTTATTCAAAATATTCAAGAAATGTTTTACAAGAATCAGCTTGATGTAGTGGATTGAATCAGCCTGGCCTCCTAGACAACCTGGGTTCTAATCCTACCTCTGAGATGTATTGGCTGTGTGAACCTGGGCCAGTCCCAGGACCTCTCAGTGACTCAGGCAGTCCTCTTAGGATTCTGAAGTTTCAAAGAAGGTGCTGAGTTGCCCCTCTGCGTCTTTGTTCACTCACCCAAATCACAAGTCCAGTTAAAAAATACAGTAAGAACGACATTGAACTTTGTATCCCTCATTTACAGTAAAATGGAACAATTTCATATTTTCCCCACCTCGCTCACAATTCTGTGTCTCATCATCCTTCAGCATGGATTTTAAATTGAGCAAAAGGTTGAACAGGGAAATGGTCTTATCCCTAAGGTCTCTCTAAGTTGTGTCTCAGCTCACTTTTGAAATTGTACATTGAACCAAGCAGAGTTAGATGATCATAAGGAAATGCAAGTAGCTATTTCTTAGGCTATGGAAACTGGTTCTAAGCTGTTTTTGAGAAGAGGCAGTGCAAAATACTTGGCTTCTTAGCACTTACCTCTCTGCCTTGAATGGTCAGTAGAAAAGTACCTGGCTGAACTTCATGTATGCTCTGTCCATGCATTTGGAGGGAAAAAATCATTCTAAAAAACTTCCTGTTCAACCTACTAATATCAGAGCAGCTGCTCCTTTTCTATGCCTAAGAATGAAGCAACTATTAAAACTCTTAAGCTGAACCCAGAAGCATGGTTAAAATAATGCCAAGAACCAATTTTAAAATTGATGCTACAGTTGTAAAGAGATGCATGTGTAAATACATGCACTCTCACATGCATGCACAAGCACACACACACCCCCTCTAAGAAATAGAAAGCATTTTATCATATTAGTCTCCTTTTCAGTTGTCCTGAGGTGGACACATTTGCAATGGAAAAGGCAGGAGGAGGTACTTTCAAAATAGTCATCTATTTTGAAAGTGTTTGTGAGCAAAAAAGCTGTGGAGTCTAAAATAGTAAACCAGTTCCTGGACCTTTAATTTGTACATTCCTGTTGCAGCTTGGAACAAATGACAAAACCACCAATATGTATAATTTAAAAATACTTGAAATTAGCCAGTTAAAGTTCACAAATTATTGCTTTGAAGCAATCACAATGACGACTTTATGGAAATGAATCAGAAATGAACTATTTGGGGAAATTTTCCATGAAATTGGGAAATGTTTTTTTAGTTAATGTTTTAAAGATAGGCATTGTGGCATAGTTTATAGGGGAAGCTGATACATCAGAAAACTTGGGTTTTTCTAACACATAATAGCTCTGTAATTGGACAAATCACCTAATCTCTGCTTTGAGCTTTAATTAGAGGATGTGAATTGCTGATCTGCCACATCAGTGGAGGCACATTTTGCCCCAGGCATTCCCTGTGGTGATGAAATCTTAGTTCTAGATTACCCTCCCAATAGATTATCCACTCAGGACAGATGTCTGTTAATCTTAGATTTATTGACCTGTGCCCTAATATTTAAATAGCTTTTAAGAGGATTATACTTTTATAAATTTTTTGCAAATTTTGTTTTAATTATTCATATAGACTTGATGTCCCTCACGGGTTTTAAGAGCCATCATCAGTACAGTCCTGTACACTTTGTTGTTTAGTTTGCTGCGCACACAGAGCATACACACACATCCCCTTTGGGATAAGTATTATACCCTGATGTCAACAATCATAGGTAGTAAACAATTGCCTTTGGAGTTGCCTCAGTTATTTTAGTTGTATCAGAGCATCGTGGCAATTCTTCATAATTGTAGGCTACCCTCTGTCCACAGAACTAAGGTGACCTTCATGGTCTTCCTCAGAGTTTCAGGTTTGCTCCACGTGAGGTCAGTATGTATTGTATGGTGCCAGCCCTTTCCGTCCCATCAGCCCCAACCCAGCCACAGGTGGCAGGGCCAGAATAATGTTTCCGGGGTTCTCTTTTGTACCTGCATGTGTCCTTTGCCCAGTGTTGGCCCATTTGTTAGCATGTTGCCCTGCAACTGCTTGTTAGTTACATAATTCCCCATGATGCTTTTCATTGGTGTTCTTCTATTCCCTGATTTGGATGTAATATGTTGGCATTAAATGGTAAAATATACATGCAAATGTTTCATTTGTGCTTTTTAAAAAGCCATTTTTTTTTTAAAAACAAACTTGCATATCTGTGACAATTTGAGGTTTCTGATTAAATATCTCTACTTATAAGATACTGTTCCTGCATCATTATTTTTTGACAAGTGTAAATTTGCAAAACATTGTGCAGGATTTAGCTATGTAATTTATTCCTTAAAGTTGAATGGAGGTTTTCAGCTTTTAAAAATGTTTCATTTTGAAAATTCATCAATTAGTATTCATAGAAATTTGTTCTTTTGATTTTGCTGTAGGGTGTAGGAGGTGAATTATTAGTTTATTAATTTTTGTATTCCACTCGAAGGTTAAATTAGTGGGGGAGGTCCAGAAAGGTTGGCAATTTCTACTGCCTTCACATGCTTATGTCAACTATTTTTCCTTCACAGTGGGATCTGAGGTTGTGGGGGTTGGTTTTATACCATAGTCCTCAATCCCTCACACCTTGCTTATCTGCCATCAGCAGCAGCAAAAACGTGGCTGAGTGCTTGGCAAAGAATGACTTGCCCACATTCTCTTCCACTCACCAGCCATAAGCTAATATAGATAAAATTTCACACTTCATTAATGCTGGCATAATATGATCCATTATACTTAGTCATAAAGAAATGAGAAACCTATTATGAGGCCTCCTTCAGTAGTGGAACTGCCCTTTAAATCCAGAACATTTTGGAATGTTCTGTTATATTTCAGTACCTGTAATTTTTCTCTCTCATCTCTGACAGTCACAGTTGCAGATTATATATCCAGAGCTGAGTCTCAGAGCAGACAAAGAAACTTGCCAAGGGAAACTTTGACTAAAAACAAGAAAGAAATGGTAAGCAGAATTAAATCTGTAGCCCCCATGCCCCCCCGCCTGCCCTTTCCTCTTTAATTCTCACTGTGTGATATTTATAAACAGTAGGGCACCTTCTATGTGCTGGGCATCAGGATTACAAATCCAAATGGGATGCCCTTTGTGCCCTCATGAAGCTTACATTAATCATTTAAAACATACCTAACTGCCTTTCCCTCAGGAGAGGATTTCTTTGCTAATGTGCTTGATACTGGGTAACTAGCAATTATTAGGTGTGAATTAGAAAAAATGCAACAAATTATATTGAAGCACTGTGTCATCAAGTTAAAACCTGATTTAATTTATCAACTTCAGTTACCCAAAAAAATTTCTAGGAAGAAATGGTCCTATCCTTAATTTGGGAATTGAGCTGTATGAGAAGAGGAGGCAGCATCTTAGAGTCCAGAGCACTGAACTGACGGTATTCAGGAGCATGAGCTACATGGCTCAGCTGCATCACTAATTTAATGGTGTTATTTGGGACAAATGATGTCTCTCCCTGGGCCACAGTTTTCTTGTTTTTGAGGGCATTGGACTAGGTTATCTCTAAATTTCCCTCCAGCTCAAATGATCTATGCTTCAAATTATTTCCATGCAATTCATTCTTAAATAATGAATCTTAGGAATCTTGAAATCATAGGTTTCAGATCTTAAATACATGTGTACCCTGCATTAAGCAAATTTGAACACAATTTGGATTTACAAAACAGATGAATGAGAGGAAGATTATCCACTTAACAAACGGTGATTCCTTTTAACAGTGAGTTCCTTACCATTATATGGATTGTGATATAACTCTTCTTAGTCATAGAGAGATGGGGTCTTGAATGATGTTCTGTGGATATGAGTTGTGGACATGTGACTTCCAGTCTTGTGAAAGATTAAAATGCCTTCACACCCTTGGCTGTACTGAGGTTTTCTTGGACCATTGAGGGTTTGAGCAGGCATGTCAAGGCCCAGTGGGACCTGGGCTGGGCAGAGAGGGGTTCTTCTACCCAGGCCTCCTGAGTGATGAGGCGGTTCCAGTGTCTACCTAGGTTACACAGAGTATGAGGAAGTGATGTAAATCACAAGCACTTGAGGAGCACACCTTGTTTGGATAGCACGAGGTAGATGTCTCTTGGTTTGTCATCATTAAGCTTGATGCCAGGTGGGGACAGGGCAGTGAAGCTCTTCCTTGCTTTTCCTAGTGAGTAGGACATTTTCATGGAGCTCTGTTGTTCCTCCTTGGCTAGATTACATTTATAACCAAGTTGAAACAGTTGTCTCCCTTTGGCAGGCAAAAGACGTGATTGAGGAGCACACGCCTTCAGAAAAGGCCGTCAACGGCCCCACAAGTGCATCTGGCGATGAAGCATCCAAACTGCAGCACGGCCCTCAAGAAGAGAAGTCCGGCATCTTGAAAGAAGAGGAGAATTCTCCCGAGGAAGCCGCTGTGCTCAACGGCGTGTCATAAACTGAAGTTGCTAGTTTACAGTTCTTTTACATTACATTTTACAATAGTGCTCGTACAGCTTGCCAAAGATAGGATATGGATCGCCAGTCTTGACACCGCACTTTCAGTTCCTCCATTTGGAATAAAGAAAGGGGAGGGATCCTGAAGAAATCATATGTTAAAACATTCTTTGACACCTACTGTGTTATAAATATATCATCAGATGTGCCTTGAGATAGTATATGTAACATTAAAAAGAATTGCTGGCTATAGGAAATGTTATTTTGTTTTCGAAATATGGCAGAGATGGGGGGAGGGGGGGGATCCCTAACGTAATATTCTTTATGAAAGCATTAGCTGCTTTTGTTACATTTTTAATAATATGCAACCACTTCTTCACCTGAGGAAAACTAGAACGAAATGCAGTCTAAAATATTTTGCACTGAATTGTAATTTCTCCATTAGTTTAGTCTGGAAACTGGTCTGTTTTAATACATGTTTTTTAAATGCTGTTATGTAGAGGAAAAGCTGCAGACCACTGGAATACATTTGTTAAATTCTCAAACTGCAGGGACACTGGGTGATATTGGCAGTGACTGTTCTACATTGAGGCTTTGTTTGGTTTATTTATTAAACTGTACAGTATTTAAAAATCAAACATAGCTTTAGTTAAAACACTAAGCTGAATTAGTCATGTCCATTCAGACATAACCTGAACTACTGAAAAGATCAATTTCCAGAAGGTTTATTCTGTACAAACTACATATGTTAGTCCTTGGTAGAGTATTTTTATTTTTGTTTTGGTTGTTTGATGTGCAATATGTTTTTGTATGCAGGTAGTAAAAAATAAACTTTGATCTTCCATTTGCTGGATTTTAACTTTTACTTTCTACCCCAGTTGTTCAAAGTCAAAAAATACCGATAGGCCTAGAGAAGTTTTCCTTTGCTAATCATAAAAACTAATATCTAAATTTGATTTAAAGTATAATACTTTATATACAGTTACAGATAAGAATTATATAGTTAGATTTAAATTTTCCATTGAGTTTTAAAATGATCTTTAAATGCCTTGAAGACAGTTACGCAGTTTGTACCATGAAAAAATGACTTGGAAATTTTATTCTGAAGAACATATTTGAAGATTTGAGTATGACATAATCATGAAGACATTCTATTTCTATTGAAATTGTGACTTTCTCCTCCCTCACACTCCCCTGTTCCATTCCCAGAAAATAATTTACATCCTGGTGAAAATAGTTTTAAAGTAGCATTGCAATCCAGCAAATTCATTTCGCAGACCTAATGGAAAAATCCTGTTTTTGTTCCCTTGAGGTTAAATTGGAAAATTACTTATTTTTACTAGAGCTGGTTCTGATTTGGGTCACTTTTTCCTCTCATCCCCATTGTCCTCTCTTCCCTTCCTCCCCAAATAATTTAATTGAGTTCCATATTAGGATGAATGGATTTCATTTTTTAGGAAGTAGAGGAAATTCATTTTGAAACACCAGTTTGTATTTGATGTAACAAGTGAAGCAGATATTTTTGAGGTCATTGATTGGGAGGTGACCCATCTGTAAATCAATAGCTTAATTAGAGATAAAAAAAAAAATTTTTTTTGTTCATCACCCTATGTTGGGAAGATAACCAGCTTGACCAGTAGATATTGAATGCTTTTCCAATAATTTCTTCACATGAATGTTTGAATTATCTCTTAAGTTAGAAATATTCTTAGAACAAGTTAGACTTCACAGCATCTTGAGACTTTAAATATGCTGGGCTCCCCACTTAACTGCCCCATACTTTTTGACTAGTTTTTAAATTCCCAGCATTATCTTACTTTTAGATTAAATTGGTCTAAAGGACAGAAAAAGTCTTTCTGCCCCTTAAGCCATTTAATCACTTTAATCATCTGTCTTTGTAAAACCTTGTCAGAAAACACACTTATGAGGTGGGTCTTCCGTTTTGTCTTGGGGTTTATTAGGGTTTTCTGGAGGTAGTTTACCAGGGTACATGGCCATCCCTTGTTCATTTAAGGGGTGCCCACTTAACCTCACTGCAAAGGTGGGAACAGCTCTGGCAGTCACAGTAGGGCTTGATGTCTGGCCTTGCCACTTAACTGTGGTTGCACTTCTCAATGTCACTTTTTCCAGTGTTTTCCTCACTCTCTGGGGTCCCTTCCATCAATAGTATGTGGTTCGCACCTTTTTGATCGTGATTTGAAAACATGAATAGTTTTTAGAATGCCACGTAAGTAGAAGCTTCAGTTACATACATAAAGCCAAAACTACAAACTTGATCTTAGAAAAAAAAAACCTGGGGCAGCTAGGTGGTGCAGGAAAACGTGGTTTCAAATCCAGCTGCAGACACTTGACGCTGGCTTGTGTGACCCTGGGCAAGTCACTTAATGCCCGCCCCCCCCCCCCAATTCTCGACCTCAAAAGACAAAAGCCAACCAATTTGTTCCCAGTTAAAAATCAGTGGTCAGAGTCGATGGACGTGTGCACCACCTCAGCAAGCTGTGTTACTGCCATCCAATGCTGACTACAGAGACAGTGCTTGGTCTGGGGGAGTGTTGGGAATGAGGAGGGGAGGTTCTTTGTTTTTATGGATGAAAGGAAAACTTCAAGTACTTAATTTCAGTCTAAGTTTTCCCACCAAAAAATGTATAAAGTTCAGTTCACTAATTAAATTTTTATTCCCATCCTCCCATCTTTGTACCATCCCCCAACCCCACCTCCTGTTATAAGTGAGCTATAAAATGGGTAGGGGTAATTATTTGGAAAGAAGCTGTTACTGAATCATCACCCCTAGTTAGTGCTTCGTAGTTTACAGGCGAAGCATGCTGGATCGATCTGGAGTTTGAAAATCCAAGTTTAAATCACCCTATCTACATGACCTCAAACAGGTTCTCAGTGCATCCTCCGCCCTCTTTTTTTGTCATGGAATATTCCTGTCAGTCTGATGAAGCCTGTGAATCCTTTCAAAAAATGTGTTTAAATGCAGAATATGAAATACATAGGATTACAAAGGAAACATCCTATTGAAATGTTACCGCAGACCCCAGGTTAAATTTTCCCTTGGCCTAAAATGAGTAGTAGACTAGAATATCCTAAAGTTGCTTCTAGCCATGGCTTCTAGGATCTTGTGGGTATCAAGCTTGTGAAGAATTGTGAGGGGTTTTCTGCATCTAATGTGAGAGATCTGATTAAGGAAATTGTAGGAAAGCTTTTAAATTTATTAACTGTTGAAAAATTACCTAACTAGGACGGTCAAATTTAAGACAGATTCTTCAGCTACAGTTGGCGGTATGAGGAAAGTTGAACAAGCCTTAAGGTAGCACTTGGTGAAATCAGAGTTAATGTTGAACCGCAAAAGTCAAACTTCTGAAAATTGTTACAGTGCAAAAGAGGACTGCATTTCCTTGGTTTTGTATTTTGGAGAGAGTGGTCATTTCAAAGCAGTATGGGGTGTGGGGAGGGCCCGGGGTGGCTACCACTCCATATGACTGGTAGCTTTGCAGTTGTTCTGAAATAGAATAATTCAGTTAGTTTTGGGTGTTAACTAGTAACTGAATGGTCTCCTTCATGCCCTACATCATACACTTCCTATGCTGCAATGGTTGGTTATTCCCTATCCCTAGACTAGAATCATCAGTCTGGAAATCACATGTGTGGTTAGTTTTGGCTGGGTCCTAGGAATCCTACATCACAAAAATATGCTTAGGACATATATGATGATCCTTGTGGTGAACTTTCCCAGGAGCAAATAACACAATAACATGGTGGGACCTATGTAAGGTCCACTTGGAATTATCTATTGGTGCTATTTGTAAGATCACTGAGGAATTCACTTCCATTACTGTTGCAACCACAAGTCAAGTGTCAGTGGGGATACAGAAATAAATAAAAGTAAGTAGATCCTACTCAAAAGATCCCATTGTTAAATGGAAGAAACAACATGCAGACAACTATATATATGCAACATATGGACAGGATAAGCTGGACATTATACCGGAGGGAAATCCCTAAGATTAAGGAGAACTGGGAAGGGCTTCTTGCAGAAGGGGCTTCACAGAGCTCAGACTTCACAAAAACCTGGAGGCACAGGAGAGAGTACCCCTGAAGACAGACAGTCAATGAAAATACCTAGAGGAAGATGGTGGGCATCCTGGGCAGTGGGAGAAGAGAATCCTGTCTTACTTGGAACTTGGTCTTTGTGGGAGTTTGGTTTTATTTTGTTCTGAGCTATTATTGCTTCATTTGTCTGAAGACTTCTTCCACAAATGTACATTGGTACTCAGTTGCTTGAGGCATTGAAAATGTAAGAGGCTTCCCCTGGGCGTGGGGCTTGAACCCTGGGAACTCCAAGAGTTCCCAACTCTTGTCTTCATGCTGCCTTCTTGGAAACTATGAACACCTTAAATTCTCTTGATGGTAAATATTTTCCATTTCTCCCATTCACACCTGTAAAATTTGTGATAGTAAATTGGTTTTGGAGAATTTGGGTTCAAATTCTAGTTCTGCTACTTGATACCTATTGTTGATTCCACAACCTCTCCAGGCCTTCAATTTCCTCATCCAAAACAAAAAAAAATTAGTCTTGGATTAGGTGCTTAAAAAGATCCCAGCTCTAGACTTGAAACTCAGAGATGCACTTGATTCATTCAGTGGCTTTACAAACCCTTTCCAGCTAGAGAACCCTTGACCAGCAAGATTACCTTTATCTTGGTGATCCTCCTCTGCTTTCACCTTCTTGTACCCCTCCTGGAACAACTCCCACAGTATTCTCCAATGCCACTCCCACTTGTGGTTGATGGTCCTTGCTTTGGAGAATAAAGGAGTGCTTATTGGGTCACCAACCCTACAAGTACCCTTCCAAACAGTTATATTCCAGCCCTTTATCCCATTCTTGACCTCCTAAGCCCTTAGTGGGTAACTACACCTCATTTTCTAAGTCATGACATGAACTCTCCATCTCAAAATCTGTCTTCACATTTCCTTTCCTTGTCTCCAGAAAAGGTTTCACCAAAGACTAACCCCTCTAGCATCTGAGCTCATTCACATCTTCGGACCGTTCTGGAGTTTGCCTCATTTTTTATCCTGTTTTTTCTCTATTTGTCCTCCACCTAGAACCATGCTTAGATTTCCCATGTCCTAAAAATCAGTCTATCAGTCGATCAATTGATAAACATTAAGTGCCTACTATGTGCCAGGCACTGTGCTAAGTGCTGTGGATACTGAAAGAGGAAAAAATCCCTGCCCTACAACATGGA